AAACAAACCTTGAATATAAACTCTACTTAAAGTTTTGGCTAAACATTAACCTATGCAGACACAGGAGAGATTCCAGGGAGCCAACTAAAAAAGCAGTAGCTAGAAGCTTAAAAAAAAAACCAAAAAACCAGAAAGAAAGAAAGAAAAAAAACTGAGCAGAAATCAGCTGCTGGACAACTAAGGGATGGGAGTTTCTATTTGTTCTAACCAAGCTAAATACCTACTAGCCAAAACAATCATCATCTTCTTCAGAAGAATATAACTGAATCCAGGGTGGCTACAGTGTAATAATCAAGTCCCGTTTTCAAACAAAACTTTAAAGACATGCAGAGAAAAAAAAAAGGAACTATGATACATGTTAGCGGAAATTGACATTAAGTGGGCCTAAATGTTAGTTGTGCCAAAGATTTCAGTGATATCATTACAAATATGTTCAAAGAATTAAAAGAAAACATCATCTCAATGAGTAACCAACCAGCTAGGGATTTTCAAAAGAGAAACGGAAACCATAAAAAAATAACCAAATAGAAGTTCAGGAGCTAAAAACTACAATAATGGATATGAAAAATAAACTAGGTGCACTCAACAACAGACTAGAAATAGCAAGAGAAAGAAACAATGGATTTGAAGATAATCAATAGAAATTACCCAATCCAAAAAGAGAAGTAAAAAAACTGAAGAAAAATGAGCAAAGACTTAAAAGTCCTGTGGGACAATATCAAGCAATCCCACATACAAGTAATTGGAGGCCTAAATGGAGAGGAGGTGGAAAAGGGGACAAAAAAAATTTGATGAATGGACAAAAAATATCCCAAATTTGGTGAAAAACATTAACTTACAAAGAAGCCAAGAAAAGCAAGATATATGTAAGGAAAACCAAAAACCATACTTTGGCACATCATAGTCAAACTGCTGAAAGTCAAAGATGAAAATCTTGAAAGCAATGAGAAAAAAAAATGGTACATCACATACAAAGAAACAAAGATAAGATCAAAGTCTAACTTCTCCGCCGGGTGCAGTGGCTCACATCAGTAATCCTAGCACTCTGGGAGGGTGAGGCAGGAGCTCAGGAGTTTGAGACCAGCCTGAGCAAGAGTGAGACCCTGTCTCTACTAAAAATAGAAAAAATTAGCTGGGTGTGGTGGTACACACACCTGTAGTCCCAGCTACTCCGGAGGCTGAGGCAAGAGAATTGCTTGAGCCCAGGAGTTTGAGGTTGCTGTGAGCTAGGCTGACACACCACTGCACTCTAGCATGGGTGACAGAGTGAGACTTTGTCTCAAAAAAAAAAAAAAAAAGTCTGACTTCTCTATAGAACCAATGGAAGCCATAAGACATTGCAATGACATTGTCAAAAATGCCAGAAAAAACAAATGTCAACCAATAAAACTGAAGGTGAATGAATGAATAAACAAAATATGTCATATATACACAATGGATTATTATTCAGCCATAAAAAGGAAGTACTGATACATGCTACAACATCAATGAACCTCAAAAACACATTATGCTAAGTAAAAGAAGCCAGACATAAAAGATCGCATATTATACCATTCTATTTATATGAAACATCTACAATAGGTAAATCCATAAAAACAGAAAGCAAATTGATGGTTGCCAGGGGCTGGGTAAGAGGGGGAAATGGTGAGTGACTGCTTAATGCATGTGAGGTTTTCCTCTGGGGTGATGAAAATGTTTTGGAACTAGATAGACATGGTGATTGCACAATACTGTAAATGCGCTAGATGCCTCTAAATTGCTCATTTTACTATGGTTAATTTTATGTTATGTGAATTTCACCTAGATAAAAAATAAACTAAAGGTGAAATAAAGACACATTTTCATAAGCAGAAACTGAGAGAATCTATTATGCATCAGCAACCTACACTACAAAACATGCTAATGAAATTTTTGAGGCTGAAGAAAAAGGACAACAGATGCTAACTTGGATTTACAGGAAGGAAGGATGAGCACCAGAAATAATAAGCAGGTAAATATATATATTATTGCTTCTCTTAATTTCTTTAAAACACATATGACTATATAAAGCAGCACAAAGGATGGGGAGGAGAGGGACTATATATATTCTTGTAAGGTTCCTATACTCTACCCAAAGTACTTGATTCAATATTAACTTTAAACGAACTATGAAAAGTTAAAATATGTGTATTATAATCCTAGAATAATCATTTAAAAGAAAAAATAGCAAAGAAATATAGCTCAAAAGCCAATAGATGAATTAAAATACTAAAAAATATTTGAGGCCGGTCACAGTGGCTCACACCTGTAATCCTAGCACTCTGGGAGGCCGAGGTGGGTGGCCTGTTTGAGCTCAGGAGTTCGAGACCAGCCTGAGCAAGAGC